TACAGCTAGGCCCATCCATAGCAACGAAACATGGCCGACTATGGGATACGTAGACTGGATCCGATTTCCTTTCAAGGAAACGTAGCTGAAAACTGGAGACGTTTCGATATATATATATATATATATATATATATATAGAAGCCGCCCATGGAAATAAATCAGATAGAGAGAAAGTATACATATTATTAAATGTTGCAGGCCAAGATGCCATTGAAAAAAGTAGGAGTTTTACCTACAAACCTGCAATTACTGATGCTGACGGCAACGTTACTCCAGCTGAGTCCCCTAAAAAACTGGAAGACCTAAAGAAAAAATTTTGTGACTTATGCTTACCACGAAGGAATATTATACCAGAAAGGCATAAATTCAACACTCTTTCTAAATTACCAGATGAATCTGTTCAAGCATATTTAGCTAAGCTGCAAATCCTATCTAAAAGTTGTGAATTTGGTCCGATAACTGACGAGCTAATAAGAGATAGGATCGTATGAGGTGTTGATAAAGAAGTAGTGAGAAAGGCGTTATTTTCTCAGAGTGAATTAACTTTGGATAAAGCCATTCAGATATGCCTGGTTCATGAAACTACAGAAAATGCAAACAAACAATTGTCACAGACAATCGACGTACTAAAGTTTGAAAAAACCAAATCGCAGCACAGTATAGTGTGTGGAAGGTGTGGGACATCTCATCCACGATATAATTGTCCTGCATACAACAAAGAGTGCAGCAGATGTGGAATTTTAGGACATTTTGGAACACAGTGTAGGAAACCTAGGGGTACTAGTGCACAACACAAGCATACTTACAAGAAACCCCAAGGTAAACAAAGATACAAAAAAAAAGCCTAATAAGCAGACAGTGTATGATATCGCCACAGAAGAAGCACAAAATGAAGAATTCGTTGTTGTAGAAGGCATAAACATTGATACAGTTGACAGTAAAAGTGTAATAAAAACAACTATAATGGTCAACAATCACCCTCTCACATTAAAGATAGACACTGGAGCCAAGTGTAATGTAATACCACTAAATACTCTGCAAAATATTAAAGCTGCTGATGACATAGACCAATCAGAAAAGTCAAATCTGGTAGCATATAGTGGTAATACCATAACTACTTTGGGAATGGCAAGATTTATGATAGATTCAGCGGGAAAAGACCACCAACTGAAATTCTATGTTCTTGATGGTGATTACACTCCCATAATTGGATTAGCAGATTCTCTAAAACTTGAGTTGCTAAACGTTAATGATAACATAGTGCACGTAACACAATATATTCCAGAACTAACAGAGTTTTCGGATGTTTTTGGTGACGATTTGGGCAAGTTACCGATGAAATATAAGATGTCTGTAGACCCTTCAGTACCGTACCGTTAGTGGTAAGACCACCAAGGAAAGTTCCAAAGCCCATGGAGGACAAAGTAATTAAAGAACTTAAACGAATGACAAACATTGGCGTCATCACTCCGGTAGAAGAGGCAATAACATGGGTGTTATCTATGGTTGCAACAAGAAAAAAGAACACTGAAGAAATTAGATTGTGCATAGATTCAAGAGATTTAAATGGTGCTCTGAAGAGACCCCATCACCCAATGAAAATTGTTGAGGAAATAACTAGAAATTTAGCCAATGCCACAGTATTTACGGTCTTAGATGCTAATTTTTTTTTTGGCAGGTACCATTAGATGAAGAATCTTCAAAGTTGACTACGTTCAACAC